AGTGGAGATAAAAAGGTTTTTATTTCTCTGCTCATGTGGATTAGAAGAAATAAACAAAAAAATGACAATTAGACTAAACTTTGACAGTTCTTTACAGTTAAAATTCATCCTCACAGAAGGAAAACTGAATTTAGGGGCACTCAGAAATAAAATATTACACTTTAAGCCACCAGACAAAGTAAATCCTTCCAGATGAAGGGAAACTAAGCAACAGTCACTTCTCCTCCTTGCCTTTGGTTTTTCTGTACACCATTTCTCTGAAACTCGACAGGATCTTGCTCTCGCGTTTCCTCCTCTCCTCCTGGTTGAAGGAGGCCAGAGCTCGCTTTTCATCCGCACTGTAGATCTGGTTCTCCTTCCTCAGACGCACAGCCTCCATACGGCGATGTCTGCGGGAGGAAAAAAGATCAAATGTCAGGATTACAGAAGGAACAAAAAGTGCAAAAGAATGGTTATATGGACAGCCCAAGGCATAGGGTAGGTAAGGTGCTGATTAGATCACCACTCTAGCCTGACTTTTATATAAATGTGTGTATGTAGCAGGAGCTGAACACAAAAGTATGCCACACTTCAATTTTTCTTTTTTTGCAAAATACATTAATTTTGCTCCCACTTCACATTTTTGTCTATCACGTAAAATTCCAATAAGCTATATTTATTAATATATAGCTTATGTAACACAACAACATGTTCGAGTTGTGAACAGTGTAACGTTTGCAAGAAAAACATCACACAGATTAATATTTCTGGTGTGTCAAAATACCTCAGATCATATTTCTAAGTAGAAAAAATTTTCTATTCCTACCAGCCTGCAACTAAATTATTTTAGTAACTGATTATTCTATCAATTATTCTGATGATTAATCTGAAAATAATTGTCACATTCTTCAGATTTTTATTTAACTACTTAATCTTATATTAGGTTTTTCTTAAATACATATTTATAGTTTTAATTACTACTCAGTGTTATTCTTATTCAGCAAATTGCCTTCTTTTAGAGTGTATTTTCCAATATTGGTGTCAGTTGATAATTATTCAATAATCAATCCATCACAATTAATCAGCTCTAATTTACTTCTAAATTTTGCTCACCTGCTGCCGCTCATGACATAACCAGACTTTTCGAAGTTTGCGATCTCGTCGCTGGTCAGACCGATTTCTCCTCTTCTGGGGATCCGTTTGCCAGCCTTCACGTACTCTGCCATGGCAGCACCTTCACCCGGCAGCAGGGCGTGACCGAAACTGGAGGAGACAAAAAAAAACAATGGGAGTTTCACAAACACAAAACTCACAAAAAAATAAACTGCATGATTTGGTTCCAGAAAACAGCTGAAGGAAAATGAGAAAGCAAAAGAAGAGACTCACTCCAGCGGTTTGTCATCCTGCGACAGATGAGTGAGCGGCGCCTCCGGACCAACGATGTTCTCATCAACGCCGGTTTTCTCCACCCACATCAACCCGCCAGTTTCCTCTTCCTCCGACTCTTCGCTGCTGGAGTCACTGGACTCTTTCCGGCTCTTCTTCGCCTTCTTCTTCTTGGACTTCTTCGACCTGCAGCAAAATCGAGATGTTTCATCAATCACAACAAAAACGTACCAGAGTATTATTAGTCAGGCAAATGAGAACTTACTTCTTACTTTTCTTCTTCTTTTTCTTCTTTTTTATTTCTTCTTCTGTAGAAAACAAAAACATTTCAGCTTATACAAGTAATAAGATGTTCAGATTTGTTGGGTAAAGAAATTAAAATGTTTCACCTTCTGAATCTGATTCCAACTCGCTGTCCTCAGAGTGTTTCTTGGTCTTTTTCTTCTTTGACTTCTTCTTCTTTTTCTTTTTCTTCTTTTCCTCTGTTAAGTAGAGACAAAACAACTTAAAATACAAGTGCTCAAGATTTGCAGGTAAGTTATGTTCCAACATACAATCTGCATGTACTGGATGGTTTACCCTTTTATTGCTTTTACAAATCAGTCTTCAGAAACAAAATCTGGCTTTTTTTGACAAAAATATTTCTGTCAAAAAAAATACATATATATTTTTTATTTTGGTCACATCACCAAAATTTTAGTGTGAAATGACTGATTTCTACAAAATAATAAAAACATTTAGTATGAAATAAGTATGAAAAAAAGGCAGATTTTGTTCCTCATTACTGATTTGTGAAAGAAACAAAAAGTGTAAAACATCCAAGGGGGAAACTACTTTTAATAGGAATTGTATCAGAAACCATCTCATTTCCGGTCAAACATTTCCTACCCTCTGAGCTGGATTCTGAGCTGCTGTTTTTCTCATCTTCTTCAACTGGTGTGAATTCATCAGAGCTGATGGACAGAAAAGCCATAATTAACACAAATGTTCCTCCAAAGCAGAAACATAAAGAACATCGATGATGGTTTTCTTTGCTCACTCTGGCTCTTTCACTCTTGGAGAATATCCCCAGACTTCAGGACAACCGAGCTCACCAATCCGTTCCCGCTCCTGTAGACGCCTGGAACGCATCACCACATTTACATCAGAAAATATAAATATGTGTAAATTATGTTTTCTGAAGGCCTTAGAGTTTTGTTAGAGAGAACAAAAATAATCATGAAAACACAGCAGACAGATTAGAGTGTTCTCAATATGAAGAAAAAAATGTTTGATAATAAATCAAGTTCAAACATTGCCCAGTAGTACTGCTGAAGATACACAGCAAAAACACAAAATCTTAGCAATCATTTTTAATCTATAGAAAAAAGACAAAAACAATTTACAGATAACTTTTTAGAAAAATATAAGAGCTTGTTCAGGTTAATAAATCCTTCATATTTCTGAGAAAGTACTAGTTCTTCTTGCAGATTATTTTACTTATAACAGCAGAAAAAATTATTTGTATTAGTGAAATAATCTACTGTGAAATCAGCACTTTATAAAAATCAATATTAAGAAATTAGTGACTTAAAACAAGCCCCTATAACTTGATAAAAAGTGACCTATAAGTTTGTTCTGTCTTAATTCAAATGTACTGAGACATTTGCACTAGAAGCCAGACCAAAAATGCTTGGTAGGATTTTTGGGTTTTTGCAGTGTATGACCCAAAAATAGAAAGAAGAAGCAAGGAGAAAATTATTTACCCACAGCAACCTAGAAGATGATGGTAACATCTTCAGGTGTCTCAGAAAATTAAAATATTGTGAAGAAGTTCATTTGAGGAACTGAAACGAATATTACATAGGTTCACTAGAGACTGAGTGAAATATTTCAAGCCTTTATTTGTTGTAATTGTCATTATTATGGAGACATATATGCAGAAAGCAGGATCACGGTAAAGCATGGTGATGGCAGAGTCATGCTCTGGGGCTTCAGTTCTTTAGCAGAAATAATACAGCAGGTCAGATCTGGCGTCAAATGTAAAGAAAATGAACTATCAAAGGCCAGGCTCACGTCGATGTGAGGCGGAAGCAGGAATCAAACTTACAACCTTGCGGTTGTAAGCAACCACAGATCACCAAGGAAACAGCTTTTCGTGAGCATGAACGGGAGTTTTAATACCTGGCAATGAAAGCCTCCTGCCTCTGCCTCTGGACGTCGTCCCTCTGCTGCTGGTAGTAATAGTCATCTTTGAAGCCGCCGTGTTTTCCATCGCGCTGCTCCGACCAGTGGCCGTGGTTGCTGGTGCCGTTGTTATGGCGATCCCGAGACCGGGACCTGGACCTGCTCCGACCGGGACTCCCGATGCGGAATCTTCGAATGTTTCTCGCCTCTTTGAAACGACGCTCCCGCTCCTCTCTCTCCCTCTCCTTGTTGCGGGGCTTCGGGAGTTTGGGCCCAAAGCTGTCCGGAGACAGGCTACGCTCTCGGCTACGGTTTCGGCTGCGGGATCGAGTACGGGGTCTCCGGGCCCGAGGACTCGGAGAGTCCCGGCCGCCGTCGGAGCTGGACCGGTCAGACAAAGGCATTCCGTCTGACCTCCGAGGACGTACAGCTGAATAAAGTTACGAAATGAAATGAAAACAGAGAGTAAGACAGGAGATATGGCGTTCTATTTTAGTACGCAACCAATAACAGGAAGAGATAAGTGATCCGACGCTTAAAAGATTCCCTCTAACTTCCGAATCCACCGAACAATAGTTCCTACTGTCCTCTAAATAGCCCATGTAATTTTCCGCAAAAGTGATTTTGGCATAAATCAATCAATAAATAAATGCCAATGAAATGACGCTAAGATTCTGATTTCATTATGAATATCGAAAAATATTCAAAATAATAAATATTTAAGTATTTTCTCGCTTTTGTTGATGTGCTCAGCTCATATTTATTCTAAAGAAAGACATATAAAAACATTCACTCTTTCCTTTAGTCGATTTCATCCAACCCACTTAGTTTATGCAATACTTTTGCAAATGTCATAAAGGTCTTACAGCTAACTACTTAAAGCATTTTGGAGAAATCTGCTGATTTCTTGATTGCTGTCTGATTTTTAAAATATTTCTTAATGAATTAAATATTATTTTTTCCCTTATATTCATAATAGAACCATCATCTGAATAAATCCATTGAAAAGTAAATATAATCAAGTTCGTTCTTTGGCATTATTAAAAACACTGTGGACTCAATACTATCCATATTCCTATCTTTCTGATGCTTATGACTTGTTTATGTGTTGTATTTCTCCTTTGTTTCTTTCTTTGTTTCTTTCTTTCTTTGTTTCTTTCTTTCTCTCTCTTTGTTTGTTTCTTTCTTTCTTCCTTTCTTTCTTTCTTTTTAAAAAAATCAAAACAATGGTGTCCAATGAATACCCAAATTTTGAGTAGAAATTTGTGGAGGGTCACAATAATTTATGATTTTTTAAAATCAAAATCATAAAATAAATGTGCGATTTCAAAACATGTATTATCATCTGCTAAACTATGAAATTCTTATGAAATGAACGACTTTTTATTTATTTTTTTACTGGAAAAGTAATCTCAAGTTTAGGTACCTTTATTTTGAAGGCTTCTGGTGCTTCCTGCGGTGTAGCTGACTGCAGGAAACTTCCGGTCTGTTGTCAGTCGGCAGCGAAGGTAATTATTTACACTGCAACTTTTTTGACAACTTTCAGGCTTAGATTTGGGTCAGGCATCGAGGGTTCGGGTAAATATTTAATTGCCATTTTTTGTGTATAAATATAGAGACACTAGATGATTTCCTCTCCCGTTTTGCGTAATTAAAACCCAGCATGCTAACAGGATGCTAAGCAGCAGGCCGCGCTTCCTCCTCATTAAAGAGAAATGATCGTTACCTTTGTTAGCATGCTAACAGCAGCGACTGAGTATTTAGTAACGGATATATTAGAGACCAATAATACAATACTTATAAAACCGACATAGGCTGTTGTTAATAAAGGCAGTTTCTATTACAAATACGAATTAAAATGTAGCAGTTGCCGTATTATTGTTATTACTGTACTATCACTAAGCAACCATTAGCATGGAAAACCTCATTGTTTTAGTTCTCTAAAAGCTCTTAAACATAATTGTATGTTCGCCTTCACTTCATAACAGCCTGTGAAATAATTTCCTTGTGTCCTTCCTTTTTAAATAATTATTTGTTGTGACCTTACAGCGGTAGGTCATTTAAATGTCTACTCATTCCTCTTGAACTTAACGCTGTTTCATTGATGTCAGTTGGATTTTGCGTAATAACGAGCAGGAAGGCAAACAATGTTTGCTTGACTAATGTACAAAGACAGATCTGAAAAGAATAATGTGCACTTGTACTCAGTCCCCTTTTATCTGATATTTCTAAATAAAATCCAGTGCAGCCAAATTGCCTTCAGATGCCAGTGAATTAGTAGTCATTCCACCTGTTTTTAATTTATTCTGTGGGAATGCAGCTGTTCAGTAAAGGTCTCATTAGTGGACAAACAGCACAGTAAAAATTAAAGCATAGTTCTGTTACAGAATCACATCTGAAACTAGAACATCTGTTCAAGCCATCATTGGAAGATTGAACTGGCATTTATGGAAGTGTGGTAGGAAGAGAGCGATTGTTGAATGAAAGCAACAGGAGCTCCGGTTTGCAGTTTGTGTTGCACCCTTGAAAAGAACTAAAAAAAACTGAAGAGTTTCACTTTTGTGCAACTTTATTAAAACAAAATCCACGGTTCAGTATACAGCATATAGTTTTCCTCTCTCGTTTTTTTCTCTAATCTAACAAGGTCATGACCTCCTCACTCCCATCATGCACCATTCTTAAAGTGATACTATCATAACATAAATCAAATAAATGCTATTCTTAACATATGGTCAATTTTCAGGGCTCTACACCCTCCCCAACTAAAATAATAAAATGTTTCCAAAACATTTTAAACTTCAAAACTTAAAGAATGTATCCTTACAACTAGCTTCTAACACTGAATTCAACCAGGTACCATTTAGTTACATGTTGCTCTTCAAAAACCATAACCACTACTACACATTCAATGACTACAAATGCATGTACACAGAATAAGTATATTGACTTATATTCCTGTTTCAGTGTATTAACTTAAATCATTGGTACATTGGTAGGCCTCCCAAGTCCATTAAGTCACATATGGCTAAATCTACCATTCCACCTTATTAAATGTATCCACATTAAACATGCTGTGAATGTAGTACGACTTCTGTTACCTTACAAAACTCACTTCCTTCTGTAAATACAGCAATAACTTTTAAGTGTAGCTTTAGTCATCAGAAATAAATCTCTGCAAAATGACTCTTATTTGTAACTAAATATTTTGTACCAAATGAATCATAAAACATTTTCAATTAACTTTAACTGTAACTATATATTGTTCAAAATAGAATTTCTATTTCTTCAAAGATATGAAACTAGGTTTCCCTAACTCATCATATGTAAAGATGGATTTTGGTTGACGTGTTCTTGAGGAACGTCGCTCTTGCTTCACCTCCTGATCAACCTCCGAAGAGGCATCGCTGTCTTCCTCAGGCATTTCAAGTTCAAGTGTTTGATCTTCAGTATCCATATCCGGATTTTGACTCGTGTCTTGGATCTGGAAGTCTCCTTCATCATGTCTGTCGTCCACTTGATTACTGACGTCAGCAGAATCATTTTCATCCTGAAACTGGCTTTGTCTTTGTACAAGTCTCCTAGTTTGGATTTCTTCTGCAGGTTGTCTTGATCTGGACTGAAAGACTGGGGCTTTTGGGTTGAGACTGGTAGTCCGACTTTGATGAGCAATCCACACAGAGTACTCGTCCTCACTACAGCTGTCAGAATCCTCATGAACATGGTCTCTGGTTTGGTGTATTTGTCTGTTTCCTTGTCTCTTCTGCTTGTGTTTTTCTTTTGGTTCTTTAGTATCTTGTTCATCAATGAGATAAGGACAGGGTAGTAAAACATTCCTATGAAGAATTCTTTCCCTCCCTTCACCATCTAATGGTGTCACCACATAAACTGGACTGTCTTTCCCTCTTCTTTCTTTAACAACATGCGTTTTGTTTTCCCAGTAAGCACGTATTTTTCCAGGTCCTCCTCTTTCAGATAGGTTTTGGACAAGAACGTGGTCTCCAGGTTGAAGTTCTGAACTCCAGGCTTTTCTGTTGTAACACTTTTGTCCTCTTTTACTTGCTTTTCTCATGTTTTCCTGTGCAATGTTGTAAGCTTCCTGCATTGACCTTGCCATTTGTCTGCATAGTCTTGATGAGACTGCGACTGCTTTTGCTCTTTTGGAAACAATAAGTCAATGGGTAGGATTGGCTCTTTTCCAAATAACAGAAAAAGGTGAAAAGCCAGTCGATTCATGGACTGTAGAGTTATATGCATGTACTACTTTGTTCAAATAGTCTTTCCAGTTAGGTTTCTGTGTCTCTTCCAATGTTCTGAGCATGCTTAACAAAAGTTCTGTTAAAACGTTCAGCTGGGTTAGACTGAGGATGATAAGGTGTCGTCCTTGAATGTTGTATTCCGCTATAGCTTTGCAACTTTCTGAACAACTCATTCTCGAATTCCCTTCCCTGATCATGATGGATTCGAGCAGGGTATCCAATCGCAGAATAAAGTCGTCAAAGATTTTGCGTGCAGCTGTCTTTCCAGACTTGTTAGATGTTGCATAAGCCTGCGCAAACTTAGTAAAATGATCTACTATTACAAGAATATACTCTACTCCACCTTTACTTCTCTCAAGATGCAGATAATCAATCGAAATTAGTTCAAAAGGTGCAGAGGTTGTAATAGTTTGTAGTGGGGTTTTAGTTTTTCGGTTGGGTTTCTTCTGTTTCAAACAGTGGCAGACTCTTGTCACATAATGTTCAATCTCTTCTCGCATTTTTGGCCAATAGAACCTCTCTCTGGCTAATGATCATTCTGTCCGCTCCTAAATGACCCATTTCCTCATGGAGTTGCTGAAAAATCAGTGCCTTAAGCTTAGCAGGAACGACAAGTTGATTTCTAGTTTTTGTCTTTCGTCGTAACACTCCATCTTTGTCTAGGTAAAGATGAGGCCATTCCCTCAAAAGTCGTTTTACTTCAGTTGTCTCTTTCACTTTGTCTCTGTATTTAATTTTCTCACCTTTCTGCTTTAATGTGATTACTCGTTGTGTCACTTGATCTTCTTGTTGAGCAATCTGAATGTCTTTGATTGCTATCGGCTCAACTAGAGTCGTACATGGAACAGTTAGTTGTGACAGTACATTTACATTGCATGTAACAGCTGAAATCCAGTCAGTATCACCACTGTGATCCGCTTTGAGTCCTTGCTGTAGTGCTGTTATGTCATCAGCTTTACATTCCTCTGTACATGCTGACATTATCTTGTCCATTTCTGTAGGTTTGCGAGAGAGAAAATCAGCATCTCGGTTGACTTTACCAGGTCTGTACTTCAGAGTAAATCGGAAATCTGCTAATTCTGAGACCCAGCGATGTCCTACCGCATTCAGTTTAGCACTTTTCATCACATATGTCAAGGGATTGTTATCACTGTACACTGTAAAGTGTGGGGCATGGAAGAGGTAATCTCGAAATCGTTCAGTGACTGCCCACTTCAAAGCTAAAAATTCAAGCTTTCCTGAGTGAAGTTTGTAGTTTTTCTCAGTAGGAGTGAGTGTACGTGAACCATACCCTATTACTCTTAATGCTCCCTCCTGCCTTTGATATAGGACAGCCCCAAGACCTTCCTCTGATGCATCCACCTGTAACACAAATGGTTTTTCAAGGTCTGGGTAGGCCATTACTGGTGGATCTGACAAAGCGTCGACAAGCCTTTCAAGTGCCTCCTGCTGTAATGTTGTCCATTCCACAGACTGAGATGGTGGCAACTGTGCAGAACCTTTCTTTGAGGAGTTGTTCTTTGTCTTTGGATGTGACAACAGATCATAAAGCGGTTTTGCTATCCTTGAGAAGTCGGCTATGAACGATCGATAGTAGCCTAGAAAGCCTACAAGGGATCTTACTTCTCTGACTGTTTTAGGACTTGACTTTTTCAAAGCTTGGACAGCTTCTACTTCTTTTGGATTCATCCGGTATCCATCTTTTGAAATGACACGGCCGACATAACACACTTCTTTTTTTAAAAATCACATTTTTTGGTCTGAGTTTTATTCCACATTCTTTTTGTCTTTGTAAAACTTCTCTCACATTTTCCACATGTTGGTCAAAATCTTTGCTGAAAACTAAAACATCATCGAGGTAGGGTAACATATCTCATCTCTGAGATCTCCAAGACAACCCTCCATATACCTCTGAAAAGCAGCTGGGGCATTTGTTAATCCGAAGGGTATCCTCAGCCATTCATAAAGTCCCCATGGCGAGATGAAGGCAGTGCATGCTCGGCTCTCTGGACTAACAAAGCCCTGGTGGTAGGCTTTTCCTTGGTCTAGCACAGTAAACCAGGAATTTCCACCGAGATTTTCCAAAATTTCCTGAATTCTTGGAATGGGATGTCTGTCTGGGTGTGTCTTTTCGTTTAATTGTCTATAGTCCACACAAAGTCGGATGGTAGAGTCTTTTTTTCTCACAATTACTATTGGTGATGAGTAAGAAGAAGTCGACTCCTGTATCCACCCCCTACTGAGTAGATCTT